TCTGGAGTGTTGTATACTAGATATTATAACCCAGCACAACCACAAACAATTGGTACATTTAATATTAATGACAAGTATACTTGTGACTAGAAAGAATGCATCCTGAGTGCCTCATCCTATTCTGGGTTTCCGCAATAGTTTGCTTTTCTGTGTTTCATCAAGCCCAAGTTTAACTGGCTCTTTCCTGCTTCCTCCAAAATGAAAAAGTATATACACTTGACAATGAAAGTTACTATACAACCTTTCCCAACAAATCTGTCATAGAATGGAGTGGTTAGACAAAATATATTGTGATACTTTTTGTGATAGTAAAGTAAAAGTTACTTTTTAAAACCTCTGACTGTTAACGCTTTACCTTTATAAATGACAAAATATTAGAATTTGATTTCACCAATTTGGCAAATTTAGCTATATTAGAAACTGATAGTTGTCTAAGTTTCTTAGGTAGTGGTAGAGGGAGTTCTACTACAGGGGCTTGCATGTCTGAAAAAAATACTCACAAAGTATAAAACTATCATCAATAACAACATATGCTAGCATGTAGCAGTGAGTAATTAACATCTAACACGGCGATGTCCTTTTTGAACCATGTGCGCTTGGCAAATTCTGATTCTGTACCCATAAAATGTTGTATCTGCTTTCTTCCCTGCTTAGGACTTCATATGGCCCCTGTGAGATCCCAATTAGATAATATATTTAGAAGCACATGAAAAACTATGCCTAATAAATACAACACCAAAGCACTACTGTCTTAGTCACCTGCAAAAGGAAATTAGCAATCTACAAAAGCACCCATTCTATCCTATTCCCACAACAGTCACATAATTACAATTGTATTCTTATATTGTCTACTTTTATTCTTTAAATTGTGACTCGATTCACTAGAAGCCTATAAAATGACATGTAAGGATGAACTAGTAAAATAATAAATAGCAAAGCATGTAAAGAACTGGTTCAATAAAAAAAAAAAAATCTTTGTTAAGACTGTCTGCCCCAAGCTCCAACCTTCCTGATGGCCCTTTGAAATCATCTCCTTTTCAGATGCTTTAATGAAGACATTGTTTTCTCAATGTTTAACAAACAGGAATATTTTTTCTCTCCCCCAGTTTTGAGTTTCGTGACACTCTAATAACTAACATTCTACCTTTACACTCTGTCCTGCTTTTCCCATGAGTGGGCCACAATCTTCTCTGTACTAGGAGACCAGGCTGCAGGAAGCTGTATATACAGTCCAGAAGGAACAGACAATTCCTCCTTCTGTACTGTAATTCTTGGCAGTCAGGTTTCTATGTTATGCAAAGCAGGTTCTTAGCTGCCACTGACAAGCTGTGGTCTAGACTGGTTAGTTACTCATGCTGACCTGTGACTCAGTTTCCATTTATACAAACTGAGCATCAAATAATCTTCCAAGATTTTCTTAGCTGAAAGTTTAAAAATTCCCACTAGATAACAAATCAACTAAGAGACTTCCAAAGACCAACACCACCTTAGCTGCACTTTTCAAGTATTAACTGTTTCTCAGACATGACCAGTGTCCTAAAGGAGAAGTAATCACTGATGCCACACACCTTTCAATAGTGTAGCTTTAAAAAATAGTTTTCCCAATGAAGGCTACGCATCTGTATAACTGTAGTTTATTCAGAGTCACTGAACTCTAAAATGAACCTGAAATCAAGTAATGGTAAGGCATATGCAAGAAGATGTATTTTAAAAAATGTCTGTTGTAAGAAACCATTCCAACTTCATACCAGTTTACCGGGGATTGACAGCAATCTCTGGAGTCCAAGCCAAATTCCTGCCATATCTAACCTTTGAAGGGGGGAAAGGCATAATAAAAACAAAACCCAAACAATAAAAAACAGCCTAACCTTGGATCATTTCAATCACCTCTGAGGCTCCTGAACTAAGAGCCCATCAGGGAAGGGTCCCCACAGTGGGACGGTGGTAGTACACATTGCGCACAGATAGGTTTAGTTTCCTGGGATAATTTCAGCTGGTTGGCTAAAATAACGCTTTACATTTTCTAAGTTACACTTATCCGTATGCACGTGTATGTTTTTATTTGCGCGTGCACATGCCATGGGCATGCGTGGAGGTCAAAGAACAACTTGCAGGGGTTGGGTTGGTTCTCTCCTCCCACCATGAGTGTCCTGGAGACTGAACTCTGGTCATCAGGCTCAACCTTTTCACCAGTCCCAAAACAATGTTTGGAAACAAAAATGTAGTAATAAGCAATGCACTCAACTGCTACCCACAAGAATGTGTGGGGTGATATACAGATGTTGTCAAGCAATTTCTAAGGCCATTAAATATGTGAAGCCTGCATCCTGGCTCTGGTTGCCATGAGTGTGGGTGTCTTCACAGGCCTCCAACTGCCTTCTCTAGACCAGCAGTTCTCAACTGCCCAATGCTGTGACTCTTTAATACAGGTCCTCATGCTGTGGTGGGCCCCCGCCATAAAAATTACTTCATTATTGTAATCTGCTGTTATGAATCATAACAAAAATATCTCATATGCAGGATATCTGATATGTAACCCCAGGTTGAGAGCCATTGCTCCACACCAAGCATCTACTTTAGCCATGCAGTTTGAAAACTTACTAAGCAGTACAGTTTTAAGCATCAATGCTTAAGGAAATAGGCTGTCTCACTGATGATACAGAACGACTTAGGAATTCAGAAGCCCACTGGTAATCTGGTTTTAATCATGAGGACTTATTGGGATAAGCGTTTCTGCAGGAGCTTCAAAGATATGAATGCGTCCATTCTGGCTTATGATTTGGCCTTTGGAATCTTTTACCATACGACTATCATTGACAGGAAATGCTGGTCAGGAACAAAGATCACACATACAGTGCAATCTATTGCCTGATTAAGAGCAGGCTGAAGCGGCCCTTCTTTATTTACTCCTGTGATTTTAGGTCTCAGAACATCAGTGTTTATTCAACCACAAGGTTTACTTATTTTATATTTTACAATAACCACTCGTATTTTATCCAGTCACAGACCTGTTATAGAAGGAAGGAAGCAAAAGCAGCCTTTTTAATGTGAAAGGAGGGAATGCTTGGGGGAATCTCCTAGACATGAAATGCAACTGTGAAACACTTTCCATTCCAATTATTCCCTTTAAAAGTTACCCACTTTTCAGGGCCGAAGATGTAGTTCAATTGTTGACTGCTTGATCCCCAGACCCTCATAAATTGGCACTCAGAAGGCGGAGGCAGGAGTTGTTCAAGGTCCTCAGATACAAAGCAAGTTCAAGGCCAGCCTGAGATTATAAGGTCTCCAAAAATACGAGATTTTAAATGTTGTTTTAAAAAAAGCTACCTACTTTGGCTCTCTTACACCCAAGGCACTTAAGTATTTACACCTACTGGTTAGGACAATACACAGTACTGACTTCCACTTCTTCTTGGGAGGAAACATTTTCAAAAGTGTTGTCTAGATTACTCTGTCTTCAAATATAACGCTCTCATGTGTCACAATTTCTGCTACAGGCTGAAGCTTAAGGCTGAAAGAACATTATAACCCTATATCCTAGGATCCCAAGAACCCAAATTACTTCAAATCCAATAATTTAAACAAACAAACAAAAAAAAAGGCATCTCAGAAAAATTGTAAGAGAAACCTCTTGCCTGTTGTGTTATTTCTGTAGTGATTCCAGTTAAATGCCATAGGTAAGACTTTTAAAATTGTAAAGAACTTACATTGTATTATACTTTAGGTTTTAAACTAACATGTAAATCCTACATTTGTTGATAAATAGCCAACCCACACTGAAGAAAAATAAAATGGTATTAAACAGCATAATGATTACAAGAAAGTAATCTGTGGAGAAGTAATAAAGCAAACAGCAATCCAAGTAATCCAATCCACCTGGTAACTTCTAAAGCTCTCCAAGTTATAATTTATTTTCTCATACACAAAATAATGCTTCCGGTTACCTCCGATGCAAAGAGGATGGGAGAAAAAAAATCATTAATTATATAGGGTCTTCCAGTACACCATAGATAACAGAAAAAAGTCTCCTCATGTCTATAGACATAACTTGGTTAAATCTGGTAGACACCAAGAAGTGGGTGTCAGAGGCATGCCCTTACTAATTAGGATAAAGGATGGTGAACAGGCTAAAAGTAATAAAAAGGTTTCAGGGGAGATGGAATCAAGAACCAACTCAATACAAGCATCTGTAATTTCATTCATGCCCTTATACTCACTATTTCCTTTACGATATGATTTCCACTTTACATTTATAAGTTAGTGACATAAAACACCCCCCCCCCAAGAGGAACCCACAGAAACATCCATAAGCCTACGGGTCTTAAAAAAAAAAAAAAAAGGAATTAAACATGCGTCTTCACCTCGCCTTACACTTTTCTCAGCTACCTCCCGAGGGTGTGAAAATATCAACATCCGGTGGCCCACCCCCACCCTCTCAGTAGTGTCTCGCGTGGACTGTCTCTGCATCCTCTCCTTCCCTTTCGGTACCATCACCGTGGAGAGGCGTACCGAGGACTCCTTTCCCGTTGCTCTCCCCCCAGCCCCCGCCACCACCACCCCTTTTTCATGGCCGAGCGCAGCATTCTCTGCACCCTTCTCCCAGGGCAGGGACGAGCGAAAGAAAGCGGCATGCTCGGGGAGGGCGAGCAAGGGGGCCTGACAACCGGATGGCTCCCCATCCGCCGCTGGCGGGCAGTCGGGTCTCCGGGTGCTCCAACACCCCGATCTCCACGCTCCCGCCCTCGCCCCGCCACTGATGCAGAGACCGGTAAAAGGCAAGAGCCGGGGGGCAGCGAGCGCGAGGCGCGGCCAGCCCTAACGGAGCCCCCCCCCCGGGGGAGGACCCGGGAGCGGCCCCCGCCCTGCGGCCGGGTCCCCGCACTGCAGCGGCGCCCGGGCGGCCCCGCACGGCGCCGCACACAAAAGCGCCGGGCCGCCGCCTTCCCGCCCCCACAGCCCGCGGGGCCGGCGAAGGGCCGGCCGGCCCCGGCGCGGCTCACCATCGCTGCGCTTGATCTCCACGTAAATCCCGATCTGGATCTTGCCGAAGTTGGCCGTTGCCATCACCTCATCCGGAGCGGCGGCGGCGGGCGGGCGGCACGGGCGGGGAGGGGGCGGGGTGGCGGCGGTGGCCCGCGGCCGCGCCGGCCCGGGAGGCAGCGTGGACGCGAGCGGTGGCCGCGGGCGAGCGGCGGAGCGGACGAGCGGGCGGGGACCCCGGGCCTGGCGGGATCGGGAGGGCGGGCGCGCACGCCGGGCGTCGGGGGTGAAGCGAGGGCCGCGGCCGGGGGGCGACGCGGGGGGAAGAGAGGAGGAGGAGGGCTCGCGCCGCCCGCCCGGACCGACGCTGGGGAGGCGGGGCGCCGTGCGCCTGCGCACACCCGGCCGCCCGCGTCTTTCTGCCCGGCGCCCGCGCGCTCCGGC